GGTTCCTGAATGGCTGGCTGAGCACCTGCACACCTATCCGGGCCTCGCCTGCTCCTGGGTAGCAGGATGGCTGACCTCGGAGGAGAGACTAGAAATACCTGGCAGGCAGCACTCATGACCAGCACACAGTGTTTTCTTCGTTGTTTTCCCATGCAAATCCATACAGACTAATTGTTGTTGTTGCTTCAATCTGTTTTCTAACTACTTCAAAAAAATCTCAGTCCGCCATAAACTTGGTCTCTCTCATAGCTGAATATTTTTTATACCAAGGCTTCAGTGGCAGTTGTGTAGGTTGTGAGCAGCGACATCTGGCCAGAGTGGCAGAAGGAAGCTGGAATGCAGCCTTCGTCCCACGATTCAAGCCCTCTGACCAGGCCCAGGGCAGTTACAGAGTGGCTGTGTGGGCGAGTGGTGGCCCTTTGCAATGGCCCATGGTGACCACATGCGCTTTATTAGGCTGACTCACCCTGCCGGTGTTGGTATTGGAACCATCTCATTTTGTGCCTCTATAAATAGGATGGTGGGAATGCTGTCCAGGGAATCCCTGGGCTTATATCAGAGGTGCCTGGAATAAGTGACTAGCAGTGAAATGGCGAGTCAGAGGGTTACAATGAGGTTCGGAGGAGGTCGGCACATGGCAGGTCCATGCATGTGAAGCCGTGGTGTTTCTCGCTGCTGAGCTCCCTCCAGGCCTGGGGCAAGGCCTGCGGCTGTCCTCTTTAACAGGGTCTGAGAGGCTGACTTCAGATGTTGGCCTCACACAACTGTGGACACAAGACTAATGAGGCTTTAAGCAAACAAGTGTAATGACGGTCATCAGCAGCCAGCAAGCGCTTCCTATGGGACAGCTTGGGCAGGAGAGTCCCGGCAGCTGGCCGGCCCAGGGTGTCTCTGGCATGGTAGGCACCAGCTTGAGGTCAGCTCATTTAAAGGTGACCCTTTAGATGAGATCTGTACTCATCTGATCTGTACCCAAAGTCTGATCTGTATCCTCTGGCCAAGTCCTTCCCAGGAGGCACTGGGGGAGCCAGGCGCAGCGTTGCGTTCCCTCAGTCTCCAGATGGCTTCGCGGGGCCTCCCGTTCTGCTTCAAAGGCTCTGCACTCTCCCAGGCACAGGCAGTTGCTAAGCAAAGGCCATTAGGCTCAGTGAGCCACATAGAGCACCGTTCTGCATGTGTCCCCATCGATGTGCCACGCTCCCTGCCGCCCAGGCAGAGCTCTGCCCTTGCACCGACCCGCATTGTTCTCCTCCTGTCTCCACACCCTGTGAGCGACCAGTTTCCAGGGCACAAAAGGCCTCAGGCCAGTGGGAAAGTAGTGTTTGCTGGGCACCAAGATGTACTGGGTGGGAACGCAAGTAGGGGAGACGCACATGGTAACAGTGTCCAGGAATTTCCTGGCACAGCCACTTCCTGTGTTGTTGGAGTCCGTTTCTCCTTGGTCAGTTCCTTCTTCCATCCTCCTAATCCACTATTCTGAACCTTCAGCATTCTGCTCCAGACCCCTGCTCAGCTCCAGGAGAGACAGACCCACTTAACCTTCTCTGCCCCGAAGCTAGGAACCACCAGGTGTGAACCACCTCTCTTCCTGGTGTCCCACTTACACACGTGTCTGCACCTGCACATCCTCAGACCCTTTCCTCGAGCTCCCGAGCATGCAAAGCCTTCCCTTTTCCTGCTCAGGCCAAGCTCTGCGTGGGCTGCTGACCCCATCCCTCCTAGGCCTCCTCCCAGGGAGCCTGCACCATTATGGCGTCTCTTTCCTTCACTGTCAGCCTGCTGGCGTTTACTGCCATCTCCCCGGGCCTCGTTCTACACTTGAGTTGTGACGTCCCTCTCATGTGTCCAGCTCTGCTCCGGAGCCCTCTTCCTTCTTCAGAGTCAAGTTTCCTGAACGCACTGTCAGTACTCACTGTCTCTATCTCCTTGCCTCCAATTCCTTGTTTAGTCACTCCTGTGAAAAGCTCCTGCAGAAGTTAGCAAGGAGGAAGTTCATCAGGCAAATCCAACGGGCAGTTCAGGTCTCACCTCACAGACTTCTCCCCTGCTCCCACTGGGCTGACAGGGCTCCGTCCATGGCATTTCTTTCTGGTTTTCCTTAAACTTCTCTAGCCTTTCTTCTCCTGGCCTCAACCTCTCCAGGTTTTGGACCTTGTCTCAGTCTCCTCTCTGTATTCCTCTCCGTGAGTGGCCATAGCATTCCTCGAGGCTTATTCTGTCATCTGATTTCTCAGGACTCCCTGCTCCACATGGGTCTTGGACCTTCCACCTGAGTTTTATTTGGGGATGTCTAACTGTTTCTTTCCACTTCAAATTCAACGTGTCCTCAGGTCACCGCCCTTTCTCTTGTTTTGTTTGTTTGTTTGTTTGTTTGTGACCTCTCCTATTTTTCTTATTTTATTTAATTCACTCATTTAAGTAAACCAGGAATTTTGGAGTCATTTCTTCCATCTCATAGTCACTAATTCCTACTTTTCATGTAGTTCTTCAAATGGAACTCCTCCTTCTCGCATTCACTGTGTGAACACTCGCTGTCGCTGTCTCATAGTATCCTCAGGGTGTTCCCTACTCCCCAGCTTGCCTTCATTAACTCCATCCTCCAGCTTGCTACCAAAATGACTCATCAAAAATGCTAATAGGCTTCTATTGAAAACCCGCATTCAGGAATCAGCTGGAGCAACATCCTAGTCAGGGAGACTTCTCTGAGCACCAGCCACTTCCAGGCCCTTCTGGAACCTACTAGAATGGCATATCACAGTGGCTACTTTCAAGCATTCACCAGCCTTGAATTCCTAGAATAAACCCCACTTAGTCACTAAGTATAATTCTCTTTATGTATTGCTAAATTCTCTTAGTATTTTGGCAAGGGTTTTTGCATCTCTACTCATGATGGATAGGTTTCTTTTTTGTACTGCGTTTGTCTGATTTTAGTCTGAGTTATAAGGCCAGTGAAAGGAGCCCCGCTTAGCTTAACTTCATGAAACAAATTGGTTTGATTCCAGGTCAAGGGCACATACCTCTGTTGCAGGTTCAATACCTGGTCCCAGGCAGGGTGCAAATGGGAGGCAATCAATTGATGTGCCTTTCTCATATCAATTTTTCTTCTCTTCCTCCCTTCCCTCTAAAAATCAATGGAAAAAATATCTTCACTGATGAGTGAGGATTAAAAATATATAAAAGAATGAAATCTTGTCATTTCTAACAACATGAATGAACCTAGAGAGTATTATGCTAAGTGAAATAAGTCTAACAAAGAAAGACAAATGCCATATGATTTCACTTATATATGGAATCTAAAAAATAAAATAATAAAACATAAAATAAAAAAGCTAAAAAATTAGCTAAACAAAACAAAACAAATGAACAAACAAAACAACAAAACTCATAGATGCAGAAAAGATTTTTATCCTCATCCAAGGATATGTTTATTAATTTGAGAGAGAGAGTTACCGGGAAAAGGGGGTGGGGGGACTGGGAAGAGAGAAAGAAAGAGAGAGAGAAATATTGGTCATTGCCTCCAGTATGCATTTTGACTAGGGACTGAACCTGGAACTCAGGTATGAGTCCTGACTTGGAATTCAACCTGCACCCTTTTGGTAAAGAGACAATGATCCAGCCAACTGAGCTGCTGGGCCAGGGCAGAGGACATTCTGATGGTTGCCAGATGGGAGGAGACTGGGGGTGAATAGAGGGAAGTGATTAAGTGTACAATTGGTCAGTATAAAAACAGTCATGGGTGTGTAAAATGCAACTTGGGGAATACAGTTAATAATATTGCAATAACTATGCACCGTGTCAGATGGGTACTAGACTTAGGGTGATCACTTCATAAGTTATATAAATGTCTAATTACTATGTTATATTTTCCATATTTTTATCTCATCATATTTTAGCAAGGGTATTTCTGTAACCTCATTTATCCTCTGTCCTGTTAAACTCACATGTAAAATTTATTTAATTTAATTCATATTACAGGTTTATAATTTTCATTTGGTTATTTTTCAGAGATTCCATGTCTCTTGCAAAATTCTCATGTTTCGCTTTGGACAATATTGCTTACATTAATTTAAGGTCCATGTCTGATAACTCTAATATCTGGATACATGTTTACTTTTCTATTGATCATTTTATGGGCACATCAGTAATTTCTGCTTGACTGCCGAACCTTCTCTATCCCAGGAGACCTCGCTCTGCCTTCTGGGCTGCGTTTCTGTAGGGTGTGAGTGGAAGCTGGGTTTCAGCTTTGGAAGCTGGTCTGCTTGCAAGCTGCCTGGGCCCGGATGGTACAGCCTTCTGAGATCCCACCTACAGCACACGTCCTATTGGTTTCTAGACTCAGCTGCGGGAAGTTGCTTGTTCTCAGCCTCTCTGCCCACACGGCTTACTTATGTGTTGCCAGCTGTTAAAGGGGAGCGGCGATGCAGGAAGCGGGGCTCCTTTGTCTTCACTGTGCTGTTTTGGGCTCTTGGTTCCTTGTGCTCGGGAAGACATGGCGAGCCTGAACTCCAGTTTTCCATCTTAGCCACCTGAGGCCCCCAAAGGCGCCATCACACTTCTCAGCCACCAACTTCTGTTCAGCTTCTTGGTCTCTTGTGCATTCGCAGATGTGGAGTATCTGGAGGGGAAATAAAAAAGCACAGATATGAGGCACTGAGACCATGTCAGGGAGGGGTTTCCCCCTCCGGCACCTTGCCTCCAGCAGCCTTGGCTCTCTTGGGAGCTCTCGACTGTCTTAAAGCAGATCATTCAGACACGGCTTTTCTATGATTCTTGGGAAGAGGGTTTGTCTGCTACAAGCTGGGAGTGGAAGTAACCCACAAACCTGTGTGTGTGTGTGTGTGTGTGTGTGTGTGTGAGCTTAGGTGAAGTCTGCACTCGTGAGATTATGATGGCCATGACCACAAATCCCAGGTCACCCCCTGTGGTGCTGGTCTGAGCAGAGAAGTGCTGACCTAACATCCGCCATCACTAAGCTGCGGCTCGTTGTCTCTCTTCTCTAGGACTTTGTGTCATGTATCGAGAACTACAGGAGAAAAGGACAAGAGTTGTTTGCATCTTTACACAAAGATCACGTGCAGGTAAAACCAAAATGGTTCCTTCCTCTGCACAGAGCCCCGAACCCACCTGGACCTGCTGTACAAAAGCAGAAGGGCCTTTGGTTTAAGCTCTAGACTGCCTACGTCCGTCCTCGGTCATCGCCGAGTCAGCCCGGCTAACTGTGCGGGGATTGGCACGCACACTCTGACAGCAGAGGAGCTGGCGATGTGGCTCTGCACGACCCACTCAGGGTCCTCAGGCCCCGCCGCTGGGAACGAGGGGCACAGGGTGAACACAGCAGCACCGTCACTCAGAGCTTCACTCTAAGGGAGAGAGATCCATCCGATAACTGCAGAAATAACTGGATCATTATAACAATAGATTTGGAAAATACAGGTATAATGAGAGCTTATGGCAGGGGAACGGGTTTAATTTGGGCAGATCGGAAGCTTGCTGAAAGGAACTGCCTTTTAAGTGGATATCTGAAGGAGGAGGACTGTGGACTAAAGTATTTTGGGAAGTGTTTTTGGTGAAGGGAGGGCCTGGGTGACGTCCAGAGGCAGGAAAAAGCTGGAGCCATCAGGGACCTGGGAGGGAAAGAAGTGGCTGATTGCTGAGCTGGGAGGGGACAGGAGGAGGCCGCAGGGCTGAGCAGCAGTGCGTGCCCCTTTAGGGCACTGCCTTTTCTCCCGAGGCAGAGGCGCCAGGGCTGAGGGCAGGCTTAGTGCAGGCACCTCCAAGGCCGGTGTAGGACGTGAAGGGCAAGCGGCCACGCTGTGAGCTCCCTGTTTGACTCTCAGGGCTGCCTCCACCTGGGCCTGCACCTGAGCCCAAGGACCCCCATCTTTAAGGGGGACAGCCCTTCCCTCAAGGGAGGTGAGGACCCCTGGGCAGCACCGGGCAGGAAGGCCCCCTGCAGGTTTGAACTGGCTAAGAAGCTGTCATCAGTTGGTTTTGTTGTTAATAAAATAAAATTAAATAAAGAACACACAAAAAACAATAGGACATAATGTGTAGTGCTAGAAGCTCTCAGAGTGACGGTGCCTGCTGTGTCCCTCGCTCCCAGCAGCGGGGCCTGAGGACCCCGTGGACACGTGTAGAGACACACTCCAGCAGTTACTTCGAAATTGCTCTGTTCCAGAGCCTGTGCCAGGCATAGAATAGCCGAGCTTTTACCGGCACTGCTCTACCCGGAGGGTTTTTACAGTGAAGAGAGGGGCAAGGAGTCAAGGAAGGACTGAAACAGGGTGGCGAGACCAACACCAGATGTTCTACCACGAGGAGAGAAGCAGTGGGCAAGGAGCCACTGGGGCACTGGGTGGGTGAGGGGCCAATGAATGGTGAGACAGTGGTGCCCCAGGGTCGGGGAAACAGGCTCTGATCAGCGTGAGCCAAGCTACCTGGCCCACGTCCTCCCCATGACTCACTTGGGAGTGCACAGCACCTGGGAGGCTCGAGGGGGCGGAGGACATGCAGCCTGCAGCCCAGAAACAGCCACCAGGCTCGCTCATGAGTCATTGTTTTCAGACACAGCAGGGTTGGGAGAGGTCAAGGTCAGGTGGGAAGGACAGAAGCTCAGCAGAGCCTCCAAGTCCAGAAAGAAAGGATCCAGCCTTCTAGAAGGCAGCCTGCTTGTTCTCAGCAGCGGCCTGACTGGGGCTCAGAGTTGAGAAGGTTATACAGAGTTTTACTGTTTGTTGACTTAGACTGAGAAAATCTGCTTTCTGAGGTGAGTCCACAGGGACTTCCCAAGTGTCTGACTTTTTAGACTGACTGTCTCCATGTCTGGGGAGCGCTCTCACCCACTGTTCTGTTCCGCAGAGGCGGAGGTGCGGCGATCTCAAGGCAGCCAGAGCCTGGGCCCGGATCCAGGAGCAGCTCTTTGGGGAGCTGGGCTTGTGGGGCTCCGGAGCAGAAGCCACACCCTGTTCCCGGTGGGAGCTGGACTGGAGAGAAGGGCCTGCTCGCATGCGGAAGCGCCTCAGACGCTTGTCTCCCCGGGCCACCCGGCCTGCAGAAGGGCCCCAGGTAAGTCCCAGGAGCAGGGCCGCGGGGGCAGTCTCTGTAGCTTCTCAGTCCACCAGTCCGTCCATCAGTCTGTCCATCCGGTGTTGTTTTCATTGAGACTTCTGGTGAGTTTCTGAGAGCTTCAATGTGGGCAGGCGGGGGAGAAAGTGTACGTGGGGAAAGGTAGGATTGCTCTGCGTTATTCTTGATGCACTTTAACAGAAAAAAAAAAAAAAAGTCGCTAACCCTCAAGGTAGCAGCAGAGGGAAGCCGTGAATGGATGGATGAGCGGAGGAGTGGGTGAGTGGTACAGATCGGCACTACAGACCCAGGCCACACTGCCATCACAGAGCCCAGGATTTGGGGAGAGCCAGGCGGGGGTCACTGTCAGCTCGCAAAAGCTGTCTTGTACAGGCGTGGCCAGCGCTGCTCTGACATTGCTGGGCAAGCGCATCACATGGACCTTTACAGGGCCCACTCCCCCCCCCCCCCCCCCCCGCAGCCGTTTCCTCAAGCTCCGGCTGGGGCCCCACTCCCTCCGAATGCCTGGGAGCTGCCCTGAGCCCTGAGCAGTGGAGTCCGCAGACGGCGGTGTGCGGACTGAAGCTTGAGCTCATGTTATGGAACTTACATTTTTGCCCGTTGAAGGATGGGGAGCCAGTTGAATTGGTAGCGGACTAGAAAAAAAAATCTATGAATAGATTTTTATTTCTTCACCCAACAATCCTGATTGAAGATATTCTAAAAGCCATTGTGGGGTTTGTTTTCTAGTCTGTGACACAGAGCCTTTCATCCACATTACATCCTTTATAAAACTCAGTGAAAAAAAATAGAATTCATTTATTCAGTAGACACTTGAATTTTTCATGGATTTCCAATAACCATTTGGTGGTGTTCGGTACCCTCTCTCAATGCATTTCTGAGGAAATGGAGACAGGAGAAATAAGTGGCCCAGCCCGGCCGACCTGGCTGGGTGGTTGAGTGTCCTCATGGTTCAACCCTAGTCAAGGTCCATATATGGATTGCAGGCTTGATCCCTAATATGGGGTGTGTAGGAGGCAGCAGATCAATGATTCTCTGTCCTCATTGATGTTTCTGTCTCTCCCTCTTCCTTCTCCCTGAAATCAATAAAAAAGATATATTTTTTTAAATAAGTAGCCTGCACAGTGTGCAGGTGAGCAGCCGAGGGCTCCTGTGAAAGCAGGCCCTGGCCCGAGCCTCTCCGCCGTGGCCTGCGCCTCAGGCCCGGGATGCTGTCTAGTCCCACTCTGGCATCATTTGGGCAATTACTGTAATTCTGCTAATGGAAGATTGTGGGTTTTCTCCCCTTTGACTCGGGAACATTAATACTTGCTTTTTACTGTGGTCCTTTAGGATTCAGCGTTTTTTCTTGCATCTGAGTCTTGAGAATGTGATTTATTTGAAGGGGTCACGTGTATGTGTATGTGTTTGTGAATATGTGGAATGGGGGGAGTACCCAGAATTTAATTTCTTTTTCTCTCTTTTTATTTCAGGAAAGCCAAGACAGAAATGGTGATATTTCTCACACAAATGCTGAAAACAGAGGTATTCAGTTTATCAACTATTTTTTTTTTAATTAAACCAGTTGTGGGTTTTATTTAAGATCTTATCAGCGACATGGAATTGATGTCTTGGGAGGAGGACACTGCAGGCACAGAGCGGGCAGGCTGGTGCTCTGTGCTCTCAGAGCCCAGAGGGCCCTGTCCCAGGCCCAGAGCGCCGAGGGCAGACTTGATAGTAGCTTTGCCACAGTTTTCAGGGATCTGTCTTGTCAACTTGCCGAACCAGGGAAACCTTAAAAGTGCCCCAAACAGTACAAATACATGCTCAGTGTGTGACCTGCAACACTGAGCATGTATTTGTAAAAATGGGAGAAATACTAATGCTTCTTACACTGACCTCTCTGATTGTAAAATGGCCAGTTTACAGCAGCCCCTGACCCCCAGGGTAGGCTGCAGGACCGGATACTGTGGGTTCCTACACACACACCTTCCCACGTAAAAAGGGAGGTTTCGGCTTCTCTGTGGCGTATTCCAGTTGCCAGCACCGCTGCTCCCGAGCCTTGAGGCCATTGTTGAGTAAAATGGGCCGATTGAGCACAAGCCCTGCGATCCAGTGGCAGCTGCTCTGATAACTGAGATGACCACTGAGTGGCCGGCAGAAGGGAGAGGACAGCAGGAGGTGCTGCACAAAGGGCAGACTCACTTCCTGGATGGAAGGGGCAAGACTGTAGAGTTTTCACCACGTGACGCAAAACAGCGCTCAATGTGAAACTTAAGAACTGTTTATTTCTGGAATTCTTTATTTAATATTTTTGGACCGCATTCGCCTATAGGTAACTGACACTGCAGCAAGTGAGACCAAAGATACGTGTAGGATTTCCCAAATGAAAAAACATGCTTTGAATAATATTCTAAGTGTATGCTTACTCTTTATTTGTATAATTTTCATGGAGGAAATTGATTGAGTCAACTTGCTAAAATACAGGTTTGCTTCTCAGAGGTCATTTTGGCAAGAACACATTTACACACACACACACACACACACACACACACACACGTTTCTGGTTTTGTGGTTTCTCTCTGCTGCCTCTGGCTTGGACACTCCCTGTCTGTGTTGTGCCCTGTGCCCAAGGCTGCAGCTGGTGTCATAGTTTAACCAAACGACAGCTCCTTGGTGTTGATCCTCTGTCTCTGGGACCGTAGCGTTGGGCCTCCTGGTGAGCAGGCTCTCTGGCCAGTTTGCAGTGCTGCCCGGAAGTGAGGATCCTGGGCTCGGGTCAGGTGGATTTGGGCGGGTCACAGGACTTAGGGTAACTCTGCAATATCTGTTTCCTTCTCATCTCTTCATCCCGAGGCCCACACTCCAAGGTCAGAGTGAGAACCTGCCTCTCCCTCCACTGAGGGTGGACGCAGAGAGGGCAGGTGGAGGTGTGCCGACCTACTGGGCCTCCATCTGGCCTGCTGAGTCCTGCTCCCTAGGCGCTTAGTCGTGGAGAAGAGGGACCTGGTTCTCTCCATGCCTTCCCGTGTGCTGTGTCTGCACCGAGCTCTCCCTGTGGGGGAAGCTTGTACGGCTGCGCGGTGAGCCGCAGGCACTGCCATTCCCCCAGAGGTGAGAGTCCCAGGCAGGGCTCAGGTCAAAGGGGTGAGCATCTTGGCATAAAGGAAATGGCTGCAGCCCCTGGACAGCAGGCAGGTGCTGTATGTCTGCTCCAGGCCAGTGGCCACCAGGTCAGGGTGAAGAAGTAGGGTCTACAAATCCCGTGGGCATGTGCTCAGCTGGCTCCCAGTGGGCAGCCCGTATGCCGCCTTAGGAAATGAGCATGACCATGACCGTGGCTGTGGCTGTGCACAGGCGGCCTGCGGCACCCCGGCTTCATGGTAGCACAGAACCAATGAGTCCGAGAGGGCCCAGGGGATCCTGAGGAGCCACACAGTGGGGTATTGTGTGCAAAGAGCGTTCAGTGGAATGGTAAAGTGCTCATGATATGATCCTGAGTTTAAAAATATTAGAAAAGAAAAGCTATAAGTGCAGTCTAATTCCTACTATGTCACAAATTACACAGATGCGTGCCTATACATACATACATGTGCAGGGAAGGTATCAGGTACATCAACCAAGTGTGAACAGTGAGGACAGTCGGCCTGGAATTGGAGCTGGCTCTGACGGACACATGGCTTGGCCGCGGCTGGGTTCTCGGCAGCCTTTCCCCTGCGCCCAGCGCGGCCCCCCTCAGAGTCTCCATCAGCTGCGGCTCCCACCGGGCAGCGCCGGTGAAAGTGCCCCTGCAGGTCCCAGCTCAGGGGACGCGTGACTGAGCGGCAGCTGCTGTTCTCAGCACTGACTCTGGGTACACATTTGTCTTATTTCTCACAACTTCATGGTTTTCCCACATGTTTCTTATAATTAGAAGATAGTGCTTCCATAATTAAAACAACAACGAACACTCTTTTCAAAGAGCAAACTAAGTGAACTTCAGATCCAACAAACGCTGGCGAGCAGCCCGGCCTGGGCTCCCCTGGAGGGTCAGCCTGAGGATGTCTGACCCCCACGGGCTCAGGTGCATCACTCTCAGCAGCGAGGGGCACGCGTACCTGGTCATGGCTCCTCAGACCCTTGCCCTTCCTCCCAGCGACTCAGGCCCCACTGCACCCCACCCCTGATGATGCCCAGTGGCTCGTGCCAACACTGAGTCCCCTTACGCCCCTGCAGGGGAGCTGAGCCCCAGGGAAGCTGAGGGCGAGAGCGACGAGGTGGCAGCTGACTGCACCCGGCTGACCTTCTTCCCGGCCCTCCACGAAAGCCAGCACTCCGAGGACTTCCTGGAGCTGTGTCGGGAAAGACAAGTTATCCTACAGGAGCTTCTTGACCATGAGAAGGTAAGAGGGCCCATCATGACTGTTCTCTCGGGATGACTGACACAAGGGAGCGGTGCGGGCCCCTCATTCACAGGCCCGGTGGCCACCCCCTTCCCTCTGAAACCCAGGAGTGCTGCGAGTGCGTGTGTCCGGGGCGGCGTGTGGAGGGACCACATGTCCCGCACCAAATGCCGTGAAGGTGTCAGCCGCACTGATGAACTGCAAAGCGAACGTGCTCTAACCTTTGTGATCCTAGGAGAGCGATTTTCAGGGTCTAATTCTTCACCTTTGTGTAGTCCAGCCCCTCGGGACCTGCCTGCAGCCTGACCACCCGAAGTTGCTGGAGGGGGGCTGGAGGGTCTGCCTGGGCCTACTGTCCTTCTGAGATGTGCATGATGAGCCAGGGTCAGAGCGGAGCCCATGAGAGACCTGATCCGCTGGGCTGGACCCCTCTATGAGTTCTGTGCCCCCTACAAAATGCCACATTTGTGGAAAAGAGGCAAGTAGCTGGGCTTGGGGCCTGGAGTGATGTGTGGTGACACCAAGGAGGCCCTGGATGTAACACCTGAGGGACGAGGAGCACAGGAGGCGGCCCCAGAGCTGGAGAACATCACTCACCAGCGGAGGGAGTGAGGTCTAGACTGGACAGGCTGTGTGGAGCGGCCGGACTGCTGTGGCACGGGGGCCTCTGACCGGGCCCCAGACAGCTCCGCCGGCCAGGTCCTCGCGGTCCGGTGCCCACCTGCTCACACTGGGCTAAGGCAGAGGCCTCCTGCTGGCTGAGCCTGCCGGGTGTGCCCGCCACGCCCCGTCCCCCCACTGCCTCCCCCCAGGGCGCAGGCCTCTGCTTACTTCTGAGTCTGCCTGCAGTGGCTTCAACAGGCAGGCTTGACTTCGTCCCTGTCTCTCTTCTATGACGTAAGCATGATGGGCTCTGCCCAGGGGAGACACAGCTATGTCAGAGGCCACATGCCAGGCACCAGCCGGGGGCGGGGGGGGGCAGAGGGGTGGTAGGGGTTCGGGGTAGGCCACCCGCTTGTAGCTGTAACCGGGGCTGCTGTCATGGCCTGGGGACTCTGGCTCAGGGGGGACAAGCACTGGATGGAAGCCTTTTGGGGAGCAGCTGGGACATGGCTTGGCAAAGGCTGGCTACCATGTCAACTCTCCCCACCACCACCAGGCAGGCAGATGCCAGCGATTAGTGCAGGGCAGCTGGGCAAAACCGAGTGCTCAGACAGACTCGGGGCATCACCCCACTGGTTATCGCGTCATTGGCAACCTTGGCAGCTGGTCATCTGGGCCCTTGCTTTGTGCTTGCCATCCAGTGTCTCGCCTAGTGTCACCGTGGCCCTGTGACAGAGGCTTTGTCAGCTCCATTTTAAAGATGGCAAACAGGGCCCTGGGGGCTACTCACTGGAACTGATAGGCTCCAGCTCAGGTCTGTCTCATGCTAAGTTCACGTGACTCCATTCTTCTCTGACTCCCAGTGCCCTGCCTTGCACAAGTTGCATAAACTCTCTGCCACCCTGGCCTTCAACACCCTTCCAGGCTGGGCTTCCTGTAGGACCACTCTGCTAGTGGTGGCCAGATGGGCAGGCCTCAGGTCCCTCACACAGGTGTCTGCCTGGCACAGAGCAGGCAAAGCACATGCCAGCCTGCTCGCCTGGGCATGCCTGAATGGACAGGGGCTGGAAACAGAGGAAGGAAGGACTGTTGCACTGACCCTGACCATGAATGTGTTCGAAGACACAGAAGGCAGGTGTGCGTGCGTGTGTGTGTGTGTGTGTGTGTGTGTGTGTGTGTGTGTGTATAGGGAGGTGTTCCTGTGCTTCTGGCTGATGCCTTCTGCTTGTGGGGAGACAGTTGGCAGCAAGTGTTGGATGTAAGTGGGGAACGGCCTAATTTGGATGTCTTCATAAAACCTGTGGCCGGTGCTTTTTCTAAGGGAAAGCTTGTCCAGAGAGTGCGTGGCGGGTGTGTGCCCAGCTCAGAACACGGAGCCCTGCCTTCCCAGGGCCGCCACTAAGGTGCCAGGCAGCCCTGCGGAGACCCTGCCCTCCTCTTACGTCTCCAGCGACACTCACGCCTCAGCAGCACTCACATCTGTTGCCTTCACCAGACACAGCCCAGAGGGCTCCAGAGCACACCCTCCTTCCAGGCTTCTGGATGCCCTCCCTCCCCCGGCCTCGGGCAGCAGCAGGCCTGAGCTGGGTGGCAGCAGCTCGCTGGTTTCTCTCTGTGATCAGTGGAGCTCTGGTCGCCTCCAGCGATACCTGGGACAGTAATTGTTTTGTGTCATTGATTAATGATTCCCAGAGCCACAAACACGCTTCTCTGCGAAACAGCTCCATTTGCCTTGAAGGAGGGTTGGTTCCATGCATGTCAGTTGTGTGCCCCAGCCGCCACTGTGCTGCTGGGAGGGTCCCTGTGCCTCCACGTGCTGCTCCGGGCAGCCAGGCCCAGGCCCGACCGCAGGGCTGTTTTGTTACTGCTGCCTCTTCTCTTACATTTAAAATGGAACATTCTGCATTTTTATGCAAGCTCAGGGTGAGGCCTTCGTCTGGCCTGGGTAGAAAGGAGCGGCTCACAGGGAGAGACCTCCGCTCCGGGTGGATGACCAAGAGCAGCGGCCAGCTCATCGCGGGGTTTTCACAGAGGAGTCTGTAGGCAAAGAAGTGCCTTAACCTTCCCATGTTTGAACTTCCCATCGGGGGAACCCATGACGGACTTTCTAGAATGTGGAGCTGTCATGTCAGCCCTCCTTAACCGTCAGAGATGCTCTAGGCATATTGGGCATGTTTTGCGCACAGCCACTTCTGGGCTGGCCTGGCCCCTCCCTGGACCTGCCTCCCTCACCCTATGTGCACACACGCATACACACACACACACACACACACACACACACACCCCTCAGACCATGTCCTCTAATGAAACAGAACTACTTGTACTCTGCAAACACGTTCAGCTGGCTCTAGACTTCATGGCTAGGAATGCTCCCCCTTGTTTTTTTATCTTTTTAACCCCTTACCTGCCCGGGAACCCCTTATCTGATGTCACCTCTGTCACCCTGGGTGACAGTGTCTCCTCCAGCCCATCTCAGAGAAACCCCTTATGGAGCAGAAGGTCCAGTCTCTCTAAAGCCATTGACAGACACGTGGCGGGAGGGACTTCTGAGTCACGAGCAACACGGGCGGAGCTCTCCCGAGGCGACTGAAGTGGGAGAGCAGGTAGCAGTTCACTTGGGCTCATTTTCCAGTTTTTCCAGCAGAATCGATGTTTAAGCTATTAACCCGCTCTCACCAGACATTCTCCCTGTGGTTGGGTTTATTCTCATCATTACTTAGTCTCCCCGACAGGAAGGACCCGAGACCATGGCAATGCTGCTCACAGAGGTTGGGCGAAGGCGGGCACCGTGGGGGTGGGGGGAAGGTTCCGTGCCACGTGTCACACGTGAGCCTGAGAACAGTGTGAGCCTGGTGTGGCCCTCCTCACAGTGCCTGGTGCCACCTGTGGGAGGGCATCTGGCAATAGCTTCCGGAGTTTAAAAGCCAGATCTAGGCCTGCAGTCCTGCTTGTCGGGATTTACCCGCAGGTTCACTTGTGTGCAGAGTGACATTGTGCTGGAGGGTCACTGCAGAGCCTCTGTGGTGTCAGAGCGTTAGACCACTACCCACAGGAAGTGGGGATCGCGCCTCTCACTCGGCCTGCGTCGCACCCATGAACAAGGCTGGACAGCTCCACAGGAGAGGCCTGGAGAGTCTCCAAGGCAGGCAGACAGAGCAGAACAGCAATGAGAGCAATGCGCTGCTGTGTACAGAGGGCTGTGTGAAAAACGTGCCTCTGGTTTCACAGGATTTCTCTTGTCAGAGTGTCCGGCTGGCCTGAGGGTGGCCTTGACAGACACAGCTTAACAGGAAAAGCTTACACAGGTGATGCCACGTGTGCACATAGCCTTCACAGGAACACAGAGCCTCGGAGTGTGTAGGCGTCGGTGTGTGCACATGAGGTCCAACAGAGCGTCCTGTTGGGGGAACGGAAGCAGGTGGGGAGCTGGAGGAAGGTAGGGTTAGCTCCGGTCTGTTTGGACAGGCCTCTCAGCCTTGATCCAGATCTCCTTTCCCCGACTCACATGGGCTGTGTCGCTTGCTTCCAGGAAGCCAAGGCAAGGCCAGGGTGCCCTGCGGTACCTGCTGCTTCTCAAGTGTCTCCAACAGAAAGCAATCCTTTGCCAAGGTGCATGGTTTGAGTACACATATCCGGTCCCCTTCTATGCAGCTGCACAGTGACGGTGGCTGCCTCTGGACAAGCTGGCAGGGAGGCTGGGGGCTCCACTCCCTGCCTCGGTCCCCCAATCCTTCCTAGGTTTAGTTTGGTTTGGTTTTCCACAGCTTGTCTAGTAGAAGTCCATCAGTTCTACCTCTTCATGTTTGGATTCAACCACTCTCCCCAACCTCCCCCTCCCCTCTGACACCCATCAAAGCCATCATCCCTCCTCAGGACCGCTGAAGTGGCCACATGCTGTGACCCTCCTTCCAATACATCCACCATCCAGTGGCGCTTTCAGAAATGACCCTGCCTCAGCTTCTATTGAAACCAGAATGAAGCTCAATGGGCCTACCAGGCCTCAAGCCCCATGACCTGAGCACCCCTCTTCCCAGCTTTGGGTCACATACTGATCTCTCTTCTCCCTCCCTGCCTCGGCTCCGAACGGAATGCTCCCTTTCCCTGGAATGTGTTCTCTCAGCTTGTCCTCTCTGCTCCCTAAGTTCCTCTCTGCCTTATCACCAGGCACCCAGGCTCCCCCTCTCAGCACCCATCACCATTTGTAATCACTTATTGGTTGTCATGTTTGTGCGTCAGCCATCTTCCCCTACTGGACATGAAGTCCCATGAGAGTAGGGTTATTGCTTATCTTGTCCCTCCCTCTGTCCGCATGCTTGGCTCAGAGCCTGGCAGGCAGTAGGTGCTGAGTCCATAGCTGTTGAGTTGATAAACATCTGGATGGATGAATGAAGCTGAAATGAGTCTGTGTTGAAAGTGGCTCTGAAGGTGGGTTGAGGGCCAGGTCCAGTAGAGGCAGGAGGCCGGACAGCCAGCTGTTCCCAGCAGGTTTATTACGGGAACCAAGACCCTTGGCTTGTCCTCAGGAGAAATAGTTCAGGAATGGCTTGTCCTTGATGGTAGTGAACGAGGCCGCGGTGACCCTTAGCCCGCACAGACCAATCGTGTTGGACACAGAAGCCGGATAGCTCACGCAGGGCCCGTTATCTCCTGAGTCATCCTCCCTGCTCCCCAAGGTGAGCAGGAAACGTGGCTCCAATCGTTGGTGAGATTCTTGTCCCTGGACCTCTTATAAATTCTATCTACAAATCAGAGTAGAAGCTCCCTTGCCCAATTGTAAAAATTACATTGGTTAGTGTGTAAAAGGGTTACAGTGGTCATATGGTTGGAAGTAAAAATAAAAACAAAGTGAGCTCCTCTTTTGTGTAACTGGAATTGGCATAGAACTACCCTCTGAAAATGCTGGGCTGGCCTTATTCTTGGTCCATTCGGGTTCTCGTCATTTGGAATTTACTTTTTCCCTCACTGATTTCTTTGCAAATATATCCCATTTAAGGACCCACTAAGTCCCTCCTAGGTGTAGGACTCTGGGCCACACCAAGCCATGTCCAGGTCTGGAAAGCCAACCCTGAGCCCAGAAGCTTGTTGGGAGCGAAGGTCCAGGCTGGGCAGGGAAGAGGTGGTCTCAGCGGAGGCTCAGAGGCTCAGCTCTTTCCACGGGAGCTTGAGCTCTGGTGTCCTCCCGCATGGGCACTGGATGGCCAGTTGTTGGGCACAGACTGCCCTGGGGAAGAGTGGTGCCCTTTGGCTGGTGCTGTCTCCAGCTGTGGCCATTCTGGAAAGCTGCCAATGTTCCAGCTGCCAAGAGAATGGCCCTGTTGTCTGAAAGAGGAAGCAGTGCCCGTCTGCACACCCCTGGGCTGGCCATGGCCTTGTAGACAGCAGCACAGTCTTACACTGTGGCTTTCAGCAGACCTGTGCTTGTCCTGGCTCAGACACCTTCCAGCTGGCCCCTGGACAAACTCCTTTGCCTCCATAACTGAGAAGCCGGCACTCAAACAGGTTCCTCACTGTTCACTGCAGGAAGTTCAGGGCGGTTGTGGAGGGGCCTCCCTGAGAAGAAGGCTGAGTGCGGAAGGCGGCAGCAAGCACGCGTGGGGGTGCGCTGGCCTGGGGAGAGTGGGTAACTGAACAGGGAGTTGGGTGTAGAAGTGCCACTTAGACTGTGAATCACAGTACAGACTGGGCAGTGGCTTTGTTCTTACAGGTGTGGCTCCCACTCCCACTAGGAGCCCAACCACTGACCAGCTCTGCCCTGCTGCCCTCCACAAAAGTGACAGCCATGCTTCTCTGCCCTCGGCTGACTCTGTGCCCTCCCCTCCAGGTGACACAGAAGTACTCAGTGGTGGTCGTGCAGGGCCACCTGGTCTCCGAGGCTCTCCTGCTCTTCGGCCAGCAGCACTTCTACGTCTGCGAGAACTTCACCCTCTCCCCCGTGGGCGATGTCTACTGCACCCGCCACTGCTTATCCAGGTGAGTGCCCCTTTCCCCTCGCACTCCTCCCCAAGCCCCAGGCTTCCTTCTCAGCCACCCTCCCCCAGCCCTGGCATCCGTTCTTACCGTGGGCTTGGGTTTGGGCCAGAAACTGAACCATGAGATAAAACAGAAGAACCTTAAGGCATAGGCACTCTTGATCATGGATCCCCAAAGCTAAAATCTGGGTGCAGAACAGCATGGCAGCTCCTTGTGCCTCCTCTGGTGTGGGGCCACCACGGGACAGAGGGCCTCTCTGTAGGTTATTGGTAATGGAATCCAGACCATCAGCTCACTCGTTCGGCAACTGCCTGGTTGCTCACTGACTTAAGACATCAGGCACTGCCCCTTCATGGCCAGAAAGTGCCACCAGCACACAGGCTCCTTGGGAAGAAGGTGGAGCACACTGGCAGCACAGGACAAAACATCTGCTCTGCGGGGACTCTTCAGGGTGCACGGGGCAAGGGGTGTGCTGAGGAAGGGCTACCAGAGGAAGATCTGGGGCTTGCAAGGAGTGAGATTTGAGTAGAAATTTGAAGAGTCATTTTATACCAACTACACCAGAGATCTTTGGCAGGAAACTGAAGATCATTTTTTTAGGACCAACTGCACTTGGTCTATTTGGGTTCAATTGGGCTCTTACTGATGAGTTCTCTGTGTTATGGAGTCCAGCCGTTGAAACCACATCAGCCATGTTTGCACTGTTGCCAAGAATCCAGTTGTCAAGTTGTATGTTTTCAGTTGATCATTGCTTTTGGAAAAAAATAGATGACGATTTCTTCATCCAGAGACAAGCCTGGACTTCTCTGGTTAGCCAGGGTTTAACATGACGACAAAACCCCTCTTAGATAGCCCAGTGACACTCCAATTAGCTTACATCAAATCACCTGGAAGACTTGTTAAAGCAGACTTCTGGGACCCACCTTCCCCCCAGTTTCTAGTTTGGCAGATCTGGGATAGGACTGAGAGGTCACCAAGTTCTCTGCTTGTGCCGATGCTGAGAGGTAACAGCTGAGAGCCACTGCCGTGGACTATGGACAGGGAGTCAGAGCCAGACCTGCCGATAAGGAAGAGTTTTAATCCCTCTTGTGTCAGCTCATTTCCAGCCCCGTCAGGACAGGAGTTTAAGGAGAGGGGAAATAGATGTCAGCCCCCCTCCTTTGATCGGCATTCTTCTCTCTGATAACTTTCATCATTTATTCATTCCAAACGTTTACCGATTGCTGGGAGTCCTCTGTGCTTTCCCAGGGCAGGAGAGGCATAGCTAATACTTGGCGCACACATCCTGTCCCGTCTTCTGGCTCATGATTTATTGATCTGATCGATACGGACAATGGACCTGCAGACGTGCCTTTCTGGGGCTGATGGGAGCTCCTGCCCCCGCGCTCAGGGCCAGCCCATGCGGTGACTTGCATGAGCCGTTGCTTCACTCCTCAGCACTGGTTTAAACCAGTCAGGGTTAGATGAGACCTTATAGATCAGGAGAAGCGTGTGGATGAGATGCATCTCATAGTACTCAGATCCCACACACACTTTCACTAGAAGCCCACTTGCTGGGTGGCTTGTACTCTCTGGATCTGGCAGGACCAGGGAGCCGTGCTGTCTGGAAACTGACTTTTCTAGAATGCATGTGGGAGTGGAGTGAGAACAGATGGCTACCCTTGCCTGTCGTTGGGGGATTGCATGGGTAACGCCAATCACTGCCCCTCCGGAGGGTTTGCGAACCAGGCAGCGCGCTCTGGAGGGCTGGTCCGCTCCAAGGCAGCTCTCAGCTGCTGCTCATGCTGACAGCTCAATGGGGACTGAGTCTTCTCTTGACTACGGAGACTGAGGGAGATGCATAAATAGGCCAGTTCCGAATAAAGCTAAGCCGACCCTGAAATGTTTCTCTAAAAGATGGCCTCACATTGAGTACGGCTGAACATTAGACCCTGAAAGCGGCTCTGATGTATCATAAATCATCGGAAATAAAACTCAGGAACGCCGCACACCGCCCAGCAGAGCGCCCTTCGGCTGTGGAGTGTTCCTCAGGCCCCAGAGCCTTCCTAGGAGGTGTGGCTTTGCATGGGATCCCTTGCAGCTGATGGCATGGGGTCGCTAGGGCTGCTGTAACCGAGTACCAAAAACTGGGGGGCTGTAAAACAGCCAGTTTTTGTGTAAAACTCTGGGTCCTTGGGGTCTGAGATATGGATGCCTCAGTCCTGGAGGCAAGAAGTCAGCAGCCAGCTCTGGGCGGGCGCTCTCGCTCTGCAGCTCCAGGGCCGCCCCTTCCTGGCCTCTTCTGGCCTCCGAGTTCCCCCATCCTCGGTGTTCATTTGCTTGCAGATGCATCATTCCTGTCACCTGGCTTCCCCCTGTGCTCCCCCTTGTGCGTGTCTAGCTCTGCCTGAGTCACCCTCTCTATAGGGGACTAGTCCTATTGGACCAGGGCCTATCTGTATGGCTTCATTTAATTTTATTACCTCTGCCACTCACCTATTTCTAAATAAAGTCTCATTCCAAAGTTTTGGGGGTTGGGACTTCCACATCTCTCTGTGAGGGGGAAACAATCTAACCCACAGCAGTGGCGGTCAAGTTCAGAAGGTATGACATTTGATTCATTTGGTGAAAATCCAAACTGTCCAATCAGCTCTTTGTCACGGGATAGCTCCTCCCTCGGTCAGCATTTAGAGCAGCATTTCTCTGTTCCGTCAACTAGACAAGTACTTACCGAAAGCCGGCCTTGTCCCAGGCACTGTGTCAACTCCAGAGATACAGAGATGAGCCAGGAGAGTCCGAGAGTCCGGTAGCAAATGTGATCTAGCGAGTGATGCTGAGAGCACATTCGCGGTGTGAATTCTGCCAGTGCCTGAGTGCTGGGTGGAGTAATGACTGGTGATGGAGTTATTGCCGTGCTCACCGGGTCTTGGCCTGTGATGCTGTCTGACGCAGCCACAGGGAGGCACCAGCTCCCTCTGCAGCCTCATGGGGAGGCAGAGGCGTTGAGGGGAAGCTGATCCTCACCCCGGAGGGAGGCATTAGTAACGAACACTGGCTCCGGGCAGCAGTGGGCTTCATTGAAGGCCTCCAGGTGGAAGCATCCAGAACGAAGTCACATTGGTATTGGGTCAGTCCTATGGCAGCCCGGCTCCAAGCAGGACTCCTGGGAGGTCGGTCCTCTGAGAGGCAGGAGGAGCTGCAAAGAGCTGGACCCACGTCCTTGAGGCTGGCTGTGCAGGGGCTGAACAATGGTCTCAGGCTTGCCTGACCGGCGTGGCTCAGTGGTTGAGCGTCGACCTATGAACCGGGCGGTCACAGTTTGATTCCTGGTGAGGGCACATGCCAGGGTTGCAGGCTTGATCCTGGGTGTGGGGCATGCAGAAGGCAGCCAATTAATGATGTTTCTCTCTCATCATTGAGGTTTCTATCTCTCTCTACTTCTCCCTTCCTCTCTGAAATAAATAAAAAAATATTCAAAACAAAACAAACAAACAAAACAAAAAACAGTGGGCTCAGGCTGTGTCCTCAAGTAACTCTCCCTTCTACTCGGCAGTGACCATTCAGCATGGTAATAAGTCCAAGCTCTTAGCACTGTAGACGCTGGACACCAGCTCTAACCATGGCTGCAGGTCCCATGGGTGAGTGAGGGCTGCCCGCCTTCTCGGTGTCCCCTGGACCTGAGACACAGAGGCTGGTGCAGGCCAGCCCGCAGCTGAAGCCAGAGCTGAGCAGAGGGTCCCGGCTGCCATGCCCGGGCTGGGGCCCTTCCACTCCAGGTCCTTGGGGTCTGTGGGCAGGGCGCACGTGCTTCTCGGCGAGGCTTCCCAAATCCCCAGTCCTCCCCTGCCCTCAACTGCCCACAGGACCCCTTTGACCTATGGGAGTGGCTCTGGCCTCTCACAGAGGCTGGTCCCTGGCTCTGGGTACGCGCCCCAGAGGCCACTGCTCCCGGCCCATAGCCCTGTGGGGTGGGTGTTCTCCCCACGCTGCCGGAGGGCACGCTGACTACGGCTTCCTGTGGAGTCTCGTCAGAGTTTGAAATTTCTCCAAACGTGAGGAGAGCACCTCTCTCACTCCCCCCATCCATCTTGAACACAGGGCTCAGAGGGACTTCTCACACACACTCGCCACCGAGGGCCGCCGCCTGTCCTGCAGGCTGTCCCCGACTCACCGTCCTCTCCCCAGGGTAGGCTGGCACCCTTCCTGCTTCTCAGGGCAGTGCTGGTGAGGACAGGGTCAGGGGTTACCAGGTCAGTGGGTGCTGGCACCCTGCGTGCAGCCACCCAGGAACCCCCAGGATGCCCCAGAAACTCAGTCAGGGCCGTGGGCTAGGGCGGGGCGAGACACCCTCTCACTGCACGTCTTCTTGTCTTTTCAGCATCAGTGACCCATTCATTTTCAACCTGTGCAGCAAAGACAGGTCCTCTGACCATTACTCCTGCCAGCGCCACAGCTACAGGGCCCTCCGGGAGCTCCGGCAGGCGCGCTTCCTCCTGCAGGTACGCCCCAGGAAGGGCCAAGGTGCCATGGGTGCCCTCTGGGTGGGAGGCACATCCTCCGGGACTCCCTTGGGTCTTCAGGAATACCAGACTCAGCGCTGATGCCAGGAGCCGAGTGCCAGTCTGCCCTGTTCTGACCAGGGATTCCCTCAGCTGCCTGTTGTCCCTTCCCTCCCCTCCCTCCCCACATTCTCTAGGCCCCTGGTACCCCCTGAGCTGAGTGGTTTAGAGTACTGATTGCCCCTCAGCCAGGGTCCCCTAGCCTTGGCCAGCCCCTGGAGGGCTCACACAGGCACTGAGCAGAGCAGGTGCCTTCCAGAGGCAGAGCGGTGCAGCCTCAGCACCGCCTGGTGCACCGGCCCCACTGCTGGGGGACCACTGGGTCGGAGGGATAGAAGCAGCAGCCAGTGGCAAGGGGAGGAAGAATCTGGGGCCCCCTGTGGCCGCACACACCTGCCCCAGCAGCCCGCCCTCTGCACTGAAGCTGATCCCAGCCAGGGCCCTCCGGCAGCGGCAGGATCAGGACCAGGACCTTTTGTAAGAGGAAGGGAGGGACCGGTGCTTCCGCCCTCTCTGCTGGGTGTCTGCCCTACAAAGGCCAACAGGGGGCAGTGCTTCACCTGAAGAAGGAGTAAGAGTGCCTTCAACTATAAATTTCTTAGGGCCTGTAACTTAGCTCTGGGAGGCCTTAGGAGGAGGGGAGTGTGATTTGGGGGGGGGGGGGGGAGGCAGAGGGGAGAAAGAGGACTCATTTAGTCTGAATGGGGGGGGGGGGTAGAGAATGACTCATTTAAAAAATATCAGAAAGCATCAGGGGTCATGCTGAGGCCTCTGACTCTCCCTCTGGCCTGCCTCTCTGCTGCTTTTGCCCACAAAGGGTGGGTGCTCGTTTTGCCTGTCCTCATGCATTTCTCTGCAAGGGGCTTAGTCAGAAGGGGGTGAGCTGAGAGTCCTGGGTAGTGTGGCCAGCCCGGACCTGTCCCTGACCACGACCCTGCCACCTTGGTACAAATGGGCACCTCTCTGGGCCCCTGTTTCTCTCCAGGGAACTCGGACCACCTCTTGTCTTCTTACACATACAGCACCTGGCACATTTGGGGGCACATATTAAATAAAACAATTAAATTTTTAGTGTTTCTATATCTACCTGATAGGTAACACAGAGTGGCACGTAGGTATCAGTACGTGATTTCTTCCCCTGTAAGCGGGATTGTCTCCAGACCTCCGGGAGCCTGAGAATCGGGAGGCTGTAAGAGGGTTTCTCTTTATAGGACATTGCCCTGGAGATCTTTTTCCAAAATGGATGCTCCAAGTTTTTTGTCTTCCACAACAGTGATCGGAGTAAGGTCTTCAAAAGGTAAGGGTTTGAAACTCCTCCTCTGAGCAAACTGACCAGGAGCTGGGGGCAGAGGAGCCAGGACTGCTCAGCGCTGTTCTCAGAACAGTCCTCGGCCCACAGCGAGGAATACGCAGGTCAGACACCAGGAGGAACTCAGCACAGAGCTGCTGAATAGCACAGAGAAACCCTCTGCTCGGTCCTGGGAAGCAGGCTCCATCTCAGGGACTGAAGGGGTTTAGGACAGAAATGACTGAAGGAGGGAAAATTGTGCACTCACAACATATTCCAGAAACTGGCGATTTGACAAGCATTCCAGAATGTTCTGGCTTTATTGTCTAATTATCCAAGAATTCTCTGGCTTTATCTTTCTTTTTGATCCCAGTTGCCAATGTTAATTGTTCTAACTTTACATTTAATTGCTAAGAATTCCAAACACGGATTTCCACTTCTGCACGAGCACGTTTTCCCTTAAAGAGAGAAGCCTGCTGTTTAGTTTAGTGTCTCTCTCTCCCAATAGGTTAATCCATCTAAGCGATGTTAGCTAAGAAAAAGGTAATGCTGATATTTATTTATTTGTTACTATTAAAGTTGTAGCTAAATAGGTAGCAATGTGTGGGGAGCGAGGGGACAGGAAAGGGAGGTTCCCAGCCGTAAGCAGACCCCACAGAAGCTGGAGTGACAGGTGGCGCAGTTCAGCTCCGCTTTGGCTGGAAGCTGTGAGGTGAGACTTGACATCCTGCCCTGAAGTTCCAGGCCATGTGCACTGGCTTCCTGGTGGCCCTGGCTGGTCACATCCCAGCTGCCATGCCCCCGGAGAAAACCAGTCCTCAGAGAGGCTGTCTGCCCAGCACCCGGCACGCCCAGCAGCGGGGAGCCGCCCTGTGAGGTGCTTCTGATCTGCCTGTGTGGCCCCCTGACACTTCCTCCCGCCCCTTTAGTCCGAGCTGGAGCCGTGGGCGTGCGGGCTGACCCGCAGTTTGTTTTCCCCGTGACTCCTGGCGCTGACGTTCTCACAGTTCGTCTAGGAGCTGTGTGTCCCTAGCTCCGAGGTGAGTGGTGCCACCAGCACCCTGCCCTCCTCGGTGAGCCTGGAATTGAGGTGGCATCTGTGCCCAGGGCACAGCCGTGTGGTGAGATTGGCCGAGGAGGAATCTGAGACACGTATTTTCACTGTGACATTCTTCTGTCGTTAAGGCTGTTATCAGGGCTGAGCGTGCTACAGAGGTGCTGAGGGCAGGGTTATCAGAGCGGCCTCAGGTCCGCTGCTCACAGGTGGGGTGGCTGGAGGGCTGGAGGGCCAAGCACCCAGTCCCTAGCCTGACTCTGAAAGTGTCTCTGTGGTGCTGGAAGGTCGCCTCTGGCTGAGGAGATGATCCTCTCCTTTTTGTGCAGCTTCTGCTCCTTCCAGCCCAGCCTGAAGGGGAAAGGCGCCCCAGAGGAGCCCCACCACCTCAGGTAAGCGAGGGCCCGTCTAGCAGGCTCTCCCCGGCGCTGGCCGGGCTCTGACCTCGATCGCCCGGTCCTACTGTGAAGCTGCCACGTCGCCAGGAGCACGCTGTCTGCCTTCCCCTTTACTGTCCCTCCTCCTTCCCCCTCTTTCCTCCCCCTCCTCCTAAAGCTCCCTTTGCTGACCACACCCCTGCAAACAGCCTGGGTGTCCCACGTGGTCTATGGCTTTTCCAGACAACATGGCAGAAAGCCTTCTGCCTGTGGTGGGTGGGTGCAGGTTGGCAAAAGGTGCCAGGCCTGGGCATCCGCCCTCAGGCAGGGTGCAAGCAGTCCAGGCCTGTCCTTCCTGTGTGGGACTCTGAGAAAACTCAGCAGCTCAGTGGAGGCCCGCTGTGTGCGGGTCCGGTTCAGTGTACACATGAGGACAGGGAGCCTCCCAGCAGGGGTGCTAGGCTCCCTGACCTTCCACGGCCGCCCCTCACAAGGACCGCGTTTCCCAGATACAGGAAACCACTCAGCATGTTGTTAGGAACGAGAACAGAAGGGGGCTGGTTCTGTCCAGGAGTGAAGGTGGGGCAGGGAGGGGTGTCCTGGAGGTGGTATTCACCTGACTATGCAACAGGGCCCGCCAGGCCATTCAAATCACTTACCGATCAAGCGTTATGTGTGGTGTTTGCAGGTTTAAGGATTGTGCTCTGGGACGTCCAACCTTAGTGGGTAAGGACATGGGGAGGAACGAGCACAAGAGACTGAAAGTTACATCCAGAAAGACTGGTGTGGCTCAGTGGTTGAGTAGTGATCCATGAACCAAGAGGTCACTGGTTCGATTCCTGGTCAGCGCACATGCCTGGATTGTGGGCTCAATTCCCAGTGGGGGGTGTGCAGGAGGCAGCTAGCTGTTCGATGATTCTCTCTCACCAATGTTTCTATCTCTCTCCCTTGTTCTCACTATAAAAATAAATAAAAACATATCTTAAAAAAAAAAAAGGCAGGGAAAATGTCAGAGGGGAATATTTCCTGAGAATCAGCTTGTGTTTCAAGGAGGGCATGGTCAGCTGTGCTTGACCAGATGGTCAGATGCTGCTGGCAGGCTCGGTGAGAGGAGAAGTGACATAGGACATTGCAGCGTGCGGCCATTGGTGATCAGAGACCCTGGGTGGCTGCCCGCAGAGCCGTGGTTTCAGGAATAACTTCACTTGGCAGAGCATGTGGAGCCCGCTCATTCCAGGCAATGGTCAGGGAGGCCTGGGCAGCAGGGCCACTGGGGCAGGTGCTGGTTACCAGCGGGACTGGATGTATTCCAGTAGCTCAGCAGTAGTGGGAGCCTGGTGTATGTATAAGCTGCGTGTTAGCCCGGATCTCGTGTTGCTCGCTTCATATAAGCGTTCATCTCCACGTGTGTACTTCACGGCAATGTCCCAGTGGCAGAGGCTCACCTGCGGCTGTGGCACTAAGCTGGGCGCCCGTACAAAGATGAGTCCCACTTGGAGGAGTTCATTCTTGCCCTGCGGATGAGCTAAAGTACAGAAATCACTTCCCACCCATAGAGATAACTTGATACCCGCCTGGGCGCCAGCTTCACTGTGGACGGCTGGGCCCTGTGCCAACAGCATTTCCGTTGTGTTAGTATTCTCCTCATAGCCCTTGGAGGCCAATGGAGCAGGATGTTCCACGGCTGTCTGTGCTTGCCTGGTGTCACCCAAGACAGCCTCAAGCATGGAGACCAGTGGAAAACATAGCTGAATGAGCTGCTGCCCCGCTGGAGTGGCTCAGTTGCTTGAGCATCTTCCTATGCACCAAATGGTTGCCAGTTTGATTCTTGGTCAGGGCACATACCTGGGATGTGAGTTCAGTCCCCAATCAGAGCAGGTACAGAAGACAACCAATTGATGTTTCTCTCCCTTTTCTCTCTCTCTCTCTCTCTCTCTCTCTCTCTCTCTCTCTCTCTCCTTTCTTTCCTTCTTCCCTCCCTCCCTCTCTTCTTGGGGCCATTGGGAACAGTGCATAGTACTTAATGAGCTAACGGAAGGGGAGCTTTGACAAATGAGGAAGCCCCGGTCACATCGTCAGTCCTCGGCACTGAGGTCAGCAGGCAGTCTGGACACGTGGTGGGGCAGTGCTGCAGCAGCCAGCATGGCCTCTGGGACCTCACCAATTTGAGCTCAAATTGTAATCCTTTGCTCAGTTTCAGAATCATCTGCTGTGTATTGGGGTGTTTATGGAGCAGTTGACTAAAAGCAGGTGGTGTCCATGCTGTGGGCTCTTCTGTCTCCTTCCCAGCCAAGGGCAGCTCACAGCCTTCCGAGGGCTCTGCAGCCATGGCTCTGTGCCTTTTCACTTGATTCCCGAGGGCCACGCCAAATCCACACAGCTGGCCTTTAAACATGTCTTGCCGTGTTTTAGACACTCCACCGACCACAAGCTTCTCAGATATGGAAGGCCCTTCCAGGGCCCTGCTCTCTGACAAGGGACAGGCTCTGTTGGGGGACACTGTTGGGCGTGACCCGATTGTTGGGGGTTGCAGTTTCTGGACTGTTCTCTCAGTTTTAGTTTACTTAATAATGTTTAGAATGAAATCCACTTTGGGCACAAAGGTCTGTAAGTGAGCATTGTCAGAATTTCCTTTATAGTTGTTTTTGAAAAATAATGGGAGAACTCAGAAAACAAACCATAACAAGCTATAAATAGCTATAAGAAGACGATCTTCCAAGTCAGTCAGTAACACCCAAGCCCCACTGCCGGCAGCATGGAGGCCAAGATTCAAGTCCTCCTCCCCCTGCTGTTCCGCAGCCCCACTCCCTAGAGACCACCGCTGCTGAGCAGTGCGAGGCTGAGCCTGTGAGTGCCCGTGCTTGCTTACGGGGAGAGCTGCAGCCCCCACTGGGCGCATAGGCATGCTCCTGGGCTTCTCGGAAGCACAGCCTGGGAGGGCAACTGCAGAGACCACGCAGCTCAGATCTGGGCCCAGAGAAGAATCGCTGGAAGGCAGAACCTCACTAGTTCAAGGTCCCCAACCACTCACCGAAAACCTGGGACATGGGTCAAGACTCCAGGCATGTTCTTTATTTTAGCATTTTTCTCAGGAATCATGAAGGACACAATCAACAATGGTAGCTTAGACTAGTTTGGTAAACTGAGGCAAAGGGGCTCTTTATCCTGAAATGCCAAAGCTCGGCGGCTACTGAGAGCTTTCAGCTTCCCACAGTCACTCACAGGCTAGCTCTTGACACATGACCAAAGGTCTGTTTATCGCTGCATCTAGGTTGTGAGATTATCTTTAACTTTTTTATTTTAGATTAACTCCAGAATCACAGGAAGTTGCAAAAATAATACAAAGAGTCCCTATGAAGGCTTCATTGAGTTTCCCCCAATGGTTGCATTTTATGCAATTATAGTACAATTTCAAACCGAGGAAATGAGGAAACAATTTCCTTACAGCATGAAGGAAACTGACATATGTGTGCGCAGTCTTTTGTCGTTTTGTCTTATATGTGGTTGTGTGCAACTACCACCATCAACAGCAATCAGCTTTATCCCTCTGCCACCCACTGATTTGCTTTTCATTTCTATCATTTTGTCCCTTCGAGAATGTTCTGCAGGTGGAATCATAGAGTATGTGACTTTGGGACATTGGCTTTTTTAACACAGAATCATGTCACTGAGCTCCATCCACATTGGTGCATGCGTCCATAATCCTTTCCTTGTTGTTGCTGAGTCGTATTCCTGGGTCTGGATAGCCCACAGTTTGGCTAGCCATGTGCCTGGTCAGGGACATGTGCTTGTTTCTAGTTCGGAGCCATTGCAATGAAGAAGACTGGGTGCATTGACCGTATGATTAAAATGTTAGGACGATGTCTGCCACTTCACTTTTGTCTCCTAGTATTTTCCCTGTTGTTCATTTCTCCACTTTCTTTTTCCTTCCTACCTTCAAGATTTGTTAAAATTCCACTTTGATTTATCTAAAGTATTCTTAGTACATTTCTCTATGATTTTTTTTATTTCTCTGTATAAATTTGTTTGCTGGATGTATTCCATTATACATACATAACTTAAAACAGGTGACTAGTGTCGGGATTTTACCAGTTTAAGTGAAGTGCAGAGACCATAACTCTTTTAAGCCTTAAAGTTTTATTTTACAATTTCAATGGTCTATAATTTATATCTACTATTTTCTTAAATATTGTATCTATATACATTTAAAAAATAAATATTTTCCACAGTCATTTTAACACAGAGATGATCTAAAGCAAAGAAAGGCAAAGTGAATTGAAGAATCAAGCAAATGGCTCGGCTGGCACTGGAGAGCTTGCTTCTAGAATGCTCCCATTGCCACTCACTTTCTTTTCATAACTGAAAGCTGTTTCTTCTTCTTCTTCAGAGTTGAGTGTTTCTGTTAGCTGATTAGTCTTCAAATTTTCCATAAGCTCTTCGGAGGTTTTCCGGACTATCCTAAGGATGGAGACACAAGAGGCCAAGGCAATGACTGCAGGTCACAGAGGCACAGCACAAGGGCAGAGGTCACCCAGAGGTCACCTAAGGCATGCCCGGCTTTCAGAGAGGGTGATGCCTGGGTTAACACAGGTTTTTTATTCCAGTTGAGGAAAGAAAAACCTCACGGTTTTCCTATCAAGTATTTTTAGGCTTAATACAATTTCCAGGAACTAAAGATGACTGTGCTATTTTACGGCATGAAGGAACGTCAACATCAAACCTTTTCTTTGACAGAAAAAGAAATAAAATGTAGAAAATGACTCCTGATTTCCATCCCCAGTCTTCGCTTCATCCTACCACCAGGCTTTCCTGGCTAACAGGATGTCTAATGTGAATGTATCCTGTGGCAACCCAAAGCCCTGTCCATTGGCTCAGCAAAAACCTCTTCCTGAGACACACTGAGAACACACACACACAAGGCTGAAGCGGAAACGTCACCTGCATGCCAACCACTGCATGGGCAGCGAACCCAGGAGAGGTGCTTGGAGAGGGCACGGAGGACAAAGGCAGCGGGG